AATTGACTACGTGGCTTTTAAATATGAAAAACTGTTAGCTTTACAAGAAGAAAAGTTCAAATTAGGTGCCAGTTTTTGCTTTCAAATTGGTTAAGAAAAAAAAAAAAGGTTGACAACACATTGTGCTGGAGAAGGTGTGTGGCTCCCTACACATTGTGGATGGAAGCACACACTGGAACAGTCGTGAAGGAGGGCAATGTTGGCAGCTCACATACCCCGTGGCCCAGCTCACGACGGGAATTTCACCTACGGAGTCCCCAGGAGGTGCAAACGATGAACTATATTCAGCTGCTAACTGAAAAGTTAGTTGGGCAGTTGAGTCCACCTGGAGGCACCTTGGTGGTCTGCTCCTGAAAACCAGCCATGCAAACCCTGTGAAGCCCAGTTCACTCTGACACACATAGAGTTCCCCTGAGTCTACATCCATCTGATGGCAACTGGTTTCACCCATGCATATCCTGATACATGCAAAATGACCCAAGAAAAGGGCATTTACTACAGCATTGTGATAGAAGAAGAATAGAAAGAATTCTAATGTCCATGGATCAGGACATTGTTAAATAAATTACGGCTCATCCATTCAGGGGAATGCTATAAAGATGGAGCAAAGAATGAAACCGTTCTCAATGGTCTCCAAGATGTATTGTTAAAGGAAAAAAGTAAATTGGTGTGAGTGGAAATATATGTGTGTGTGTGTGTGTGTGTATATATGTATGTATTTGTAAGCTATGAATACATATATTCTTATATTCTTTATATGAATAGAGACTATTTGGGAGGACACACAACAAGCCAGTATCACAGTTGCTCTGGGGAGTGGGACTAGGTGACAAGAGGACCTAAGTGAAAATAATTATTTTCATTAAACAAATTTTTGTACCTTTAAGATTTGGTAGCATGTGCATTTGTTAACTGTTCAAAAAATAAATGATGTATTTTAATAGCCATATCATTTGGCCCAGTAATTCCACTTAGAATCTATTCGAGTAAAATAATAGTCCAACACCCAGAAGGAAACAAACGGGGAGTTTTTGCGCCAAGATGCTTCCTTTAGTGTTATTGTTAATAGCAATAAGCTGTTGAAAGAAAAGAAAATAAATCACATGTATCTATTTAGTTTAAGACTACACGTCTATTACAATGTTTATGAAACATTTATAAAAATGCCTGTTTAAATTATAATGTAATGTGGAAACAGCAAAGCACTAATAAGTATTTGCAATATAACTGGAACCATGTTTTTCAAAAAGCAAACAGGCATAAAAATATTGGAAGGAAAACAGACTAACAGTTTGTAGGTGGGTGGTAGGATCATGGGTGATTTTTCTCTTAAATTGTTAATGAATATGTATTACTTTCAGAGTGCAAGAAATCACTAAAAGTCAGAAGAAAGTGTGTTAATATTTTCTTATGAAGTGTTATTTTGTCATTTAGATTTTGTGAAAAATAAATGACAAAAAAGCTGAAAACGTGAGTGACACCGCCTCCATATGCTTTCACACCCTGCCAAGATACACAAGCTCCACCTACCAGGGCTGGTCCAGAGGAACAGCTTCTTTGTGTAATTAAATCCTCTGAGTTCAGTAAGGTATGTGGAAGTTGAGAGAGACAGACAGACAGACAGATTAGTAAGAGAAGGCAAGCATGACCAGATAGAATGAGTTTAGTCGACTATATATCAAGTGCTATGGGTCCCTGGATGGTGTAAATGGTTTGCTCTTGTGCATAGAGCCTAAGGCACTTGACTGCTAACCAGAAGAAGGCTGGTGGTTCAAATCCACCAGCTACTCCTCAGAAGGAAGGTTGGGCAATCTACTTCTGTAGTGATACTGCCTCGGAAACCTAAGGAGGGTTTGCTATGAGTTGGATTTAACTCGATGGCAGTATGTAACCAAAAGTTTAGTGGTTCACATCCACCCACTGGTGCCACAAATAAAGGCCTGGAAATCTTCTCCCAAACCATCAGGCACTGAAAACCCTGCAGGACATAGCTCTTCTTTGACGCACATGGTTGCCATGAGTCAGAATTGACTTGATGGCATTGGGATGTGTTCCAGGATCATGAACAAATTCTTTGAAACATTAAAAAAAAAAAAAATTGGAAAAAGGTCACTTAAAATGATGCAAAACTGACTGAAGCCATCCTATTCTGCTGTGACTATGTGAAGAGTAATGATGAGTTTTAGGTAAAACAAAACAAAACAAAACATAAGAAACCAAAACCCACTGCCATCGAGTCAATTCCAACTCATAGTGACCTATAGGGTTTCCAAGGCTGTAAATATTTATTGAAATAGATTGCCTCATCTTCCTTCCACGAGTGGGTAATGGGTTTAGAAATGCCTTAGGTACTGGGCCACCAGAGCTCCTTAGAAGGTAAACCATTAGGCATGTTAAAACATAATTGGCTTGGGCTGGTCTGACGGCCCACAGCCTGCAGGCAGGCAGCTGAATCAGCACAGTCAATATGCTCTGAAGTTTTCCATTCCCGGCCTTGAATGCTGTCTTTGCCAATTCCCTACTGTGTGCCCTGGGTTGGGAGCTACACTCCTTAGATTTGAGTCCTGCTACTACATGCACTGACTGTGTGGCACTTTGGACTTGTTACTTCACTTTTCTGGGTGCAAGTTCCTCATCTGGGAAATGGATCTACGATGGGGCAATCTACTTCCGTAGTGACACTGCCTCGGAAACCCAAGGAGGGGTCGCTATGAGTCGGTCCAACTCGACGGCACATAACAACAACCACCACCACCACTAGGACCTCGCTGAGAGCAGTGGTTAGGCCCATTGTATGGAGAATTCTTAGGATAGGGCCTGGCATATGTAAGCACTTAAAAAGCACCGCTTACCAGTCTACCCCTCTCATACAGATCACCTGGAGCCAGATGGGTTCCAGGATTTCTGGATTTTAGATAAGTAACACAAAGCATATTCCAGATTTTATGAAATATTTCCAGCAAGTGTTTATTCTGCTCAGTGTGTAAATAATCATACTAATTGGGATAAATAAGGGCCATAAACCACTTCTGCATCGGGTCACTTTACCGCCAGATGATCTGTGGGTTCTTTTATTACCATGCCAAAGGGGGGGAAAATAGATAGCTTATTTTGATTTAAATTTTTTTTTCTTACCCATGAAACCAAAAATTAACAATAAAAGCTTGAATCCCAAAACTATAAAAGTATTAACTATTTTTTTTTTCCAGTTTAAGGAGTGTTAATAAGAAAAAGGGACCCTGTGATGGAACCCCTGAGACCATGGCCCTTAGTTGCCCTTCAGGTCTGGAATTGAACCCATTTCTGTGGCTTCCAGTCAAACAAAAGACAGGCATATGACCTGAACATTTATATTAGGTAGATACACTCCTTGGAGAGATCAGTCATGGGAGAATAGAAGGGCTGTGTATGCACAGCGGGACAGCTGGGGGGGGGTGCATGGGAGGGAGGGATGCGGCAGGAGGTAACTATGGGGAGGAAGTGGGAGGGGAGCTGTTGCATTGTGGGAAATTGCAGTCAATGTCATGACACAAAGTATATGTGAGCTGCTTTATGGAAAGTGAATTTGCTCTGTAAACTTTCACCTAAATCACAATAAAAATATAGGAAAAAAACAAAAAAGGAAAAGAAAAAGGGACCCTGGTGGCACAATGGTTCAGCACTGGGTTGCAAACCAAAATGTTGGTGGTTCGACCCAGCAGCAGCCTCTCAGGAGAAAAGACCTGGCAATGCGTAAGCTGCTGTGCAGATCACAGTGTGGGAAACGCTGTGGGGAAGTTCCACTCTGTTTCATGGAGTTGCCATGAGTTGTACTGGAAGAGATCCGTATTTGAGCCCATTTCAAAGAAAGGTGATCCAACTGAATGCAGAAATTATTGAACCATAGCTATAACATCACATACAAGTAAAACTTTAGGTAATTATCTTTGCCTTCTGTGAAATGAGGTACCTTTTCTCATTTTAACACCTCCTGACTATACTTAAAGATTTGTAGAAATGAATGGGGAAAGGGCAGCCAGGCCAGAGACCACCAAGTACTCTGGTATCAGTGATGTCAATAAGCAGGGGAAGGGACAAGGTTCAGTCAATCCCATTAAGATTAGCCAGTGGTTGATTTTCTAGTCCTCTCCTTCCTCTTCTTTTTTAAGCTTCATGGTAACTAGCCTACATAGAACCATTTAGGTTTTTTATTTAGAATCAGAACAGTCTCCCTATATGCACATAGAATAACTGCTCAGATAGAAAGAGTCTGTGACCAGCGTGATGACATTGGGGAAAGGCAGGACACTGAAATGTGCACATAAGATATAGACAACAGGGGCAAATACTAGTATATGCACAATACTGCATTACCACTAACACCAAACACCACGCTGTGGATAAATGCATAGACAGGTGAGAAGATCAGGTGGGGGCAGGCGAACAGGAATATACCCTAGACCAAGGATAGATTTGGCTGGAGATAATCTTACATATGAACTTGTGCTACAAAACTAGCCACATACATTACGGAAGCAACAGAAGACAGAGTTGGAGTAACTTCTCAGAGACAACTGAACACCAATAAATAAATAAATGCTCAGAATAAACATTTTGATTTCTTTTGAGTTTTGATTTTTTTTTTTTTTAACAACTATTATGATTACTTGAAGGAGCTCTGGTGGCATAGTGCTTAAGGCATTTGACTGCTAACCAGAAAGCTGGCGGTTCAAACCCACCAGCCACTACTTGGAAGGAAGACTGGGCAATCTACTTCCATAGAGATACCACCTCGGAAAGCCAAAAAGGAGTCGCTATTATGATTACTTAGCTCTCCGAGCCTCAGTTTTCTCATCAAAAGTGGGGACAAGAGACCCACAGGCCAGGCACTGAGTACAACGTTCAAGAATGTTGCCTCCTTTCCTGGGAATTTAGGATCCTGAGAAACTCCAACCCCCCACACCAGGCTTCCAGCAAAAGGAATTGGGTTAGGTTGTCTCACAAGGCAATGAGGTTCATACCTTCCTCAGGCCCCAGCTGCACTGTGTGGGATTCATGCAGGATCTCTGCCACTGGCCTGCGGGTGTAGAGGATAGTAGAGCCGCTCAGGTTGACACGGACCCTCCGGGCCCGGGAGGTGAGGTTGGTCAGGCACAGGGCCAGCTTCAGGTCATGGCCCAGGACAGGTGCCTCCAACAGCTTGAACTTGCCAGTGATGCTAGGCTTGGTGGCGGGCTCCAGGAGGTCTTCACACCAGAAACCACGTCCTCCTGCCCTGCGGATCCGGTCTCTCCGCCCACACGCTTCCACGCTGAACAGCTTCCTCACAGCCTTGCGGTACACCTGTCTCTCCTTCCTGGACCCTGCAGGACATCCCACAGCATCAGAGCAGACCAACTCCTCCTTCTCCCCCAACTCCCATCTCCTCTCCCCTTCCCTCTTCTCTGAGCAAGACTGTTACTCCCACCACCTTAATTTACTAGCACTGCCCAAGGGCTCAAGGAGCTCTGGTGACATAGTGGTTAAAGCATTCAGCTAACCAAAAGGTGGGTGGTCCAATCACACCGGTTGCCTTGAGGGAGCTAGATGAAACAGTCTGATTCAGTAAAGATTTACAGCCTTGGGAACCCTACGCAGCAGTTCTACCGTATCCTATAGGGTCCTTAAGAGTCAGAATCGACTGGATGGCAGTGGATTTGACCCAAGGGCTCATGCTGGCTGTACCTAAGTGAGTTACTACGAAACTTAAAAAGAGGAGGGAGAGGAATGGAAAATCAACCACTGGCTAATCTTAGTGTGATTGACTGAATCCTGTCCCTTCCTCCCCTTGCTTCTAGCTGTGTGTAAAAACTCAGATCTTTGTGTTTGGTTCTCAGACAATTTAAAGAGTTTTAATCAGTTGCCAACAACTGCAGGTCAGGAAATGTCACATGAAAATACAGGCTTCCAGGTTCTCTGACAATTGGGTCTGAAGTCGCATGTAATCAATAGCTAACACTTTTATAGACTTGTATAGCACTAAATGCTATTTCCTCCGGGAGATGGGTACTGTTATCCCCATTGTACAAATGAGGAGCCCGAGGTACAGAGAAGTAATGGAACTTGGTCACCACACAGCTGGTTAAGTGAGGGAGACAGGAATTGAACCCAAGTGGGTTGGCTCTAAATTTCACAACCTGAATCCTACTCCATGATCACCTTTCTACATGGCAGTTAAGGGGGGCTGGTGGTGCAGTGGTTAAGCGCTCAATTGCTAACTAAAAAATCATTGGCAACTTGAACCCTCTAGCCTCTCCCTGGGAGAAAGACCTAGTGATCTGCTCCCATAAGGATTTCAGCCTAGGAAACTTTATGGGGCAGTTCTACTCTGTTCCACTAGATCACTGTGAATTGGAATTGACTTCACAGCAGAGTGTTTGGTATTTTGGGTGTGGTGGCACAATTGTTAAGCATTCAGCTGCAACTGAAAGGTCAGTGGTTTGATCCAGTCACTTGGAAGAAAGACCTGATGATTTGCTCCTGTAAAGATTTCAGCCTAGAAAATCTTATGGGCAGTTCTTCTCCATCCTACTGGGTCATTAGGAGTCAGAATTGACTCTACTGCACACAACAACCAGGCAAGAATGGGCTACAGCTGAGTGCTCTCCCTTTGGTTCTTGATGGTCTCTACCCTATAATCCCCCAGGTTTACTGCAGTCACTGGGACCTATCTGCTAGGCTCCTGAAGGCATGAGTTTAGAATCCCTGATCTCCTACTTCCCTGTTGCTATCACAGCTCTCTCTTTTGAGCTCCAGACCAACATATATAACTGGTCAACTTTGCCAGATGGCCACCCACCCATTAATCCCTCACCATCAAATCAACTCTGACTCATAGGGACACTAGAAGGCATAGTAGAACAGCCCCCATAAGGTTTCCATGTCTATAAATCTTTATGGAAACAGACTGCCTCATCTTTTTCCCATGGAGTGCCTGGTGGGTTTGATCTGCTGACCCTTTGGTTAGCAGCCAAATGCTTTAACCTCCATGCCACCAGAACTCCTTCAAGATGGCTGCAAGTGCTTCAAATCCCACCAAAGATGCCATCTTCTGTCCTGCAGCATTTTCCATCTCAGCAAATGGCTTTACCATCCACATGGCTAGATAAGTCAGAAACCTGGGGGTGTCCTTGACTCTTCCCTCACCTTTACCACCCATAACTGACAGCCATCAAGTCCTCCTTAATCTCTGGGATCTGTCCTCTTCTCCTATTCCCATTCATACTCAGGCCACCATTGTCCATCATAGGGAGTTACCAGCTCCCACTTCCAACCTGGGTAGCTTCCACTACCCCGATCATTCCAAAATCCAACTGTGATCATTCCACTTCCCTACTTAGATTTTCAGCTTCTCCCACACCACACCTTCCCAAGCATTTCCCTCAAAGTTCCTAGTAAAGTATGACCTATGGCTTGAAGGGAGCTATGTAGACACATCAGTCACTTAATATCTCATGTTGTATTGACATACAATTAACCCATTTAAAGAGTACAAACCATTGTTTTTAGTATATTCACAGGCATGCAACCATCACCAAAATCTAGTTTTCGGACACTTTTGCCAACCCTGAGAGAAACCCAAGCTCAATATCATCAGAACAAGGTCAGGGGCCAACTGTGGGACAGACCAGCAATTGCAAGTTTAAGTTGAAGCTGAAGAAAATTAAAACAATTCCATGAGAGCCAAAGTACAAACTTGAGACCTGTCACCTGAATTTAGAGACCATTTGAAAAATAGATTTGACACATTGAATGCCAATGACCAAAGCCCAGATGAGCTGTGGGATGGCATCAAGGATGCATACATGAAGAAAATAAAAGGTCATTGAAAAGACAGGAAAGGAAGAAAAGACCAATATGGATGTACTCTTGAATGGAGAGTAGAAAATATGGAAGAATGGAAGAAATGATGAAGTAAAAGAGCCGAACAAAAGATTTCAAAGTCGGGCTTGAAAAGAAAAAATAAAGTATTATAATGAAATATGTAAAGACCTAGGGTTACAAAACCAAAAGTGAAAATATGCTCAGCATTTCTTAAGCTGAAAGAACTGAAGAATAAATTCAGGCCTCAAGTTGCAGTGTTGAGGAATTCTATGGGCAAATATTGAACAATGAATGAAACATCAAAAGGAAGGAATACACAGAGATACTGTAACAAAACAAGTTGGTTGCTGTTCAGTCATTTTAGAAGATAGAATATGATCAAGAACCAGAGGTCTTAAAGAGGTAAGCTGCACTGAAGGAACTGGTGAAAAACAAGCCTCCAGAAATTAATGAACATCCATCGAGATGTTTCAACAAACAGATGTAACTCTGGAGGTGGCCACTCATTTATGCCAAGAAATTTGGAAGACAACTACCTGCCCAACCAACTGGAAGAGATCCATATTCTTGTCCATTCCAAAGAAAGGTGATCTAAGAGAACGCAGAAATTATTGAACAACACCCACCAGCCACTCCTTGGAAGGAAGGTTGGGCAATCCTACTTCCATAGTGATACTGCCTCAGAAACCCAAGGAGGGGTAGCTATGAGTGGGGGCCGACTTGATGGCACATAACAACAACAACAATAATTATTAATTTCACAAGGGAGCTCTTGTAGTGTAGTGCCTAAGGCATTTGACTGCTAACTAGAAGGCTGGCAGTTCAAACCCACCAGCCACTCCTCAGAAGGAAAGTTGGGCAATCTACTTCCATAGTGATACTGCCTTGGAAACCCAAGGAGGGGTCACTATGAGTCAGGTCTGACTCACCAGCACATAACAACAACAACAACAACAATTAATTTCACACATAATAAATTTTGCTGGAGATAATTCAAAACAGTTATAATAGTACAATTACAGGGAACTACCAGAAATTCAATCCTACTTCCATAGTGATACTGCCTCGGAAACCCAAGGAGGGGTCACTACGAGTCGGGGCTGACTCGACGGCATATAACAACAATAACCAGAAATTCAAGCAGGATTCAGAAGAGGATGTGGAACATGGGATATCATTACTGATGTCAGATAGATCTTGGCTGAAAGCAAAGAATACCAGAAAGATGTTTACCCATGTTTTATTGACTATGCAAAGGCTTTTGACTGTGTAGATAATAATAAATTATGGATAACATTGTTAAGAATGGGAATTCCAGAATACTTAATTCATGCCAAGAAATTTGGAAGGCAGCTAACTAGCCAACCAATGAGAAGAGATCCATATTTTTGCCCATTCCAAAGAAAGGTGATCCAAGAGAATGCAATGAGTATGGGCTCTTCAATAAGCCATTGACTATAACTTAATAACTGTGGCACCAGCCCTTTTTATTGGATAAAAATACTTTTTTTTTATTGGATAAAAAGTACTACATAAGAGCTGCTATTATTATTATTATTATTATGGACTGTATCTATCTCAGTGTATCCTCAGTGTTCAATAAATAATATCTACTATTGTCATCAGGTGTAGTGCCTAAGGTATTTGATTGCTCACCAGAAGGTTGGCAGTTCAAACCCACCAGTCACTACACGGAAGGAAGATGGAGCAATCTGCTTCCATAAAGATCTACCATCTCAGAAACTCAAAGGGGGTCGCTGTGAGTCAGAATTGACTCGATGGCTGTGAATTTGGTTTTTTGGACTGTCATTGCTATTGTTGTTGTTTGCCATCGAGTCGGCCCCGACTCATAGCAACCCCTCCTTGGGTTTCCGAGGCACTATCACTACGGAAGAAGGA